GGCAATTAATGCAGTTTGTGGCTGTGGGCCCAGCCCTCCAGCTCAAGAAGAGAAATGCCACGTCAGTCCCCGGCAGATGACAGATCAACCACCATTCTCCAGTACCTGCTCTCCTCAACTGCCTCGTTAGTAAGCTCCTAAACCCCCATTTGCAGCCAAGATGGCCCAAAACCCAAGTCTGTCAAAGGCTTTGACAAGGGCCAGAGTCTCTGATGCTGCCCCTGTATCGGTACTTACTTTTCTCTGTTGAAAACAATGAAGTCCCTCTGGAGCATCTCTAGGTGCTTTTGAAGATGGCAGGCCTTTCACATTCGAATAGAAAAATAAAGAGATGGGGAATAAATTCACAGTTGACACAGAAAGACATTACAAGGACAATTTCAAGGAGAAATAGATATCTTTAGGTATAGAGCATCTTTAGCACTGCAGTGGGGAGAATGGCATTAAGACTCTCTCACACAAAACCATATATACATGCTGCCTTCCACCAAAGGGAAGATGTGGAAGAGTCTTGGGAATAAAGTTGGTCACAAGTGAAAGTTTGCCGTGGTCTTGCTAGATGGCAATCAACTTCCTTGGAAAATGAGAGAATTCCTTGACCACATGCTTGTACCTGCTTGCTCTCACCTGGGAGGAATTGCTTTTGCTGGTGTCTTTCTCCTTCTTAGCCAAGCGTTTTTTTTTCTTGTGAAGAGGTTTGGATTCTAGGATCATTTCTTCCAGTTCAAAGGTTGGGTCACAGTTCAGTCTGCCTTTCTGGAGAGGAGAGAGAGGTGGCCTTAAGTGATCAGAGCCTGTCTTGAAGAGTCTCCCATAAAGTTGACTGCATCTGGGAGCTGAATTTTGTAAAAAATAAACTAATTACAACTACACACACAGCCAGAACACCTGCTGTACTTACACATTTTATCAGTTCCCTCAGCTGGGGGACATTGTCAAGATGTGGCAACTGCTCTTTTTGTGCTCACTGCTTCTACTCAGCCCTTTGGCTGCTTTGAAGTGACAAGTGACGGTGAGGACTTGTGTCTTGGCTGGGCTGTGCCTCTGCTGGGAGGAGCACAGCAGCCTGCAAAACTAGTTTTAAAGCAATATGCGTACACCCACCACAGAGAAAACCACCAACAGAGGGGGCAAATACATACAATTAGCAAATACTCATTGTTTAGCCCAACTTTTGTTTGGCTGAAAAACAGTCGGAGTAACACTGCACACAACAGTCCTTGGATTATTTTCCGTAAGGGTTATGTTACTTCTGTGCTGCTTTAATCCAATTAAAAAAGGATCAGAAACGCTAATCTACTGCATTTGTTATTTTACTATGAACAATGGACTTATTAGGGACAGGAAGAAACAATTATCATAAAACGGCGGGTGATCTCCAGGCTGCTAATGAGCCTATGTCTGTTCACTGGTTTTTTGCATTTGAAGAGCTAGTCCTAAGCCGGGCTGCTAAGAACGGCGGGTCAGCGAAAAACTGCCAGATGTGTTTCATCTAGCATGCCACGGACAGTCCGGAGCGGGTAAGATCAGTTCTGCATCCAGAAATTCTGAGAATATTATAAACAGAGCAGATCAATTTTGGGGCACCCACGCTTTGTAGTCATCCCCCATTACTCTTTATTACACCCACAGAAAAGTGAAAATTTTGCCCTTGCCTCTCTTTTCCCCTGTACCATATGACATCTGATGCTTTTGTGGAAATTTTTAAGAACTTCCCATGACCCGGTGCCAGGCGCGAGGGCAGGCTGCAGCGTCTAATGCTTGGGCACATTGAGAACCTTTTAAATTAAAATTGCCTTACTGTGGGAATGAATTCTGGCATTATCCTTTTCTGGAGAACAGCATCCCAGTTCACGTCTGACAGATACGGAAAGTCCTGGATATCTTTCAGCTGAGAAAAACGCTTCTCGGGGTTCGGCTCAAGCAACTGCAGCAAGGGTTAAATGGAAAAGGTGAGAAAGTGAGACCCTGAGATGCGAAATCAGAGATTGGGTACCTACAGACGTGTCTGTGGCAGAGTTACACCAGGTAACAGCCGGGGCAGGGAAACGACCGCCAGACTTTTGAGTGTCCATCTGTCAGTAGCTCCTTTTTGAGAAGGAGCTGGTTTTGCCCCTGGCAAGCGGGACTGTCAGAGGGAGCCGGGGAATCACCGAGGGCTGCGGTGATGGTGCGCAGTTACAGGGGCCCTGGGGACGGAGCTCCAGGACAGCTTTGCCTGTCATTGCTAAGTGCGAGGCGGAGGCGGATTTCCAGTTTGGGCTGGACCGCAGGGTCGGCCGTGCCTCACCCTGTGACAAGGAGCAGGTGCTGGGGACGCCGCGGCTCTGTCTCCGTCACTGGGGCTCAGGGAGGTGTCCTGGGGACACCAGCTGCCGTCCCCGCGGGTCGGACGCTCCGCTGAATGGGGCTCGGGGCACGCAGCGCCGGTGACACTCTGCATGAACACCGGCACCTCCAGCGGGTGCTTCTCTTCTCCTGCTCTGGCTCCGATTCCCTTCACCAGCGTATGCCGGGGGCTCACAATCTTTAACTCTATTCTCATTTTTATTAACAACTTTTATCCCCGTATTAGGAGCAGGCGATGAGGTGGCAGGGACATTAAACAATTTGTCCGAGGTTAAAAATAACCATTTGTTTCAGAATGGGGAGTTAAACTCATGCCTTTGTGTTCCCAATTTAATACCATATCAGTAAAACATCCCTTGTTTTCTCACTCTAGGAATGGAAAATTCATAAGTGTAATTCCAGTGTGAAACAATGGATTCACACTACTTATTTTCAGCATTTTTTTAACATTGCTGTAGGAATTACTTGTATGGAAGGAAATGACTGAGGTTTGTCTCTGAAGTTCAAGGATTCAACATTGCATAAACTCCTGATCATCTAGCAGGAACACCAGACGATCCAAACCCCCCGGAAAGGGGTGGATAAGGTCTCGTGCGGGCGTGCAGCTGGGTGCGGGCAGCGAGGGCTGTGCAGAGCGTGCGGTACACAGAGACATCCCTCACGATTCATTTCCTTCTGCGGAGCTCTGTGCTCCAGTCCTAACGTGAGTGACGCGGCTCTGCCACGAATGACAGAACATTAATAAATACAAAAATTCACAGGAGATGTTTGAGCCAGGGCAGAACCAAGTTGGCCTCATATATAATACATCTGGGTGTTAAACCAGATGCAAAGGGGCACTTGGAAATTTAAATAATTGTGACATTGTATTATTTATTCATGAGGGAGCCTATATGGCTTGAGGCATGTTGTGGTCCAGGGAAAAACTTCCAACATAACAACACAGAGGACAGCTGCAGTAAATACCCCTATATTACTGTTAGCCTTAATTAAATATTAGCTCCATTTAATTTTAAGCAAATGGAGATATTCTTCAATTTCCTTCTTGGAAAATACACCATGATTCTGCCTCAGCAAAGAATTGATGTCTCATTTTCATTAAACAGTTTGAGAGTATTTCATTACAGATGACAAAATACCTCTACATACTATTTGGAACAAAAAATAGATGAAAGCTACATTAAGTACTGCTTTATTGGCTAAACTTATTTGAAAATTAGAAAACCATTTACATACTTTCCAAAATTTGCAGCTAGTGCTGCTATGCAGGTTTCAGTGTTTCAGCTTTGCTGCCACTGTATGCAAACAGTGTCTGACACTGCCAAGCAATAGTTTGTTTATTGAAGATATGGCTTCACTTCAAACATGATTTCAGCTTCAAAATGATTCCAGTAATGATTTTGAAGCAGTTTTGATAACAGCTTTATTAAAAAATAATTACAGTGGTGCATAAACCACATGGCATCAAAGGATTTTAATAGTATCAGCACTTCTTGCAAATCTTTTCATTATTGGGAAAAATGTTTTTTAAAAATAATTTTAAAAAAGCCATTTTTTTGCCGAATGCATTGACACATATATTAATATCTACTTCTAAGTTACGTCATTCCAGAGAGACAAAGTTATAGCAGAAACTCTGGAAGCAAAGTGTCCTTAGAAGAGATGCATTAGCAGCAGCCGTGCTTGCCAGCACAAACTTCATCCCCACCAGTCCAAGATGCAGTACCGCTAGCTGTTTATTACATTAGTGCGGCTACAACATTAAAAGCTGGATATTTATCATATGGACCATCTGAAGGTCACTAACACTGGGTCTGGATACAATTTGCAATGAATCCCCACAATTTACTGCAAAGGCCACAAAGCACGATGGAAGGACTCGGCAGGCACCCAGATACCAGATACCTCCCAGCCCCTAAGCCATCCACTTCCACGGCTGCCCTCACCTTTTTGATTAGCGACACCATGTCTGTGGACCAAGCAGCAGGGTACATCACTGTAGCCGTCTTGAACACGTGAGCGATTTCATTTGTGGAAGTGTTGGAGCGAATATGATACGGCCTCTGTGAAAAATGCCACAAGGAAAGCATTTTCATTTATCTATTTTTTCAGACGCCTTGGGAAATCTTTTTAGAGCAAAGAAGCGCCAAACAAAGTCTCTTTGTACACTCCCCAAGCCTCCCGTTGATAATCTGTGTGATTGTAGCTCAGTTGAAATAAGCAAAATAATAATGTCCGCAAGAACAATGATAATAACTAGATATTTAAACAGCATGCCAGATAGGAGGCAAACCCCAAAAGTTAGAGTCATTAGCCAGCTTGTGTTTGCTTGGCCTTTTCAGTATTTGTATCTTCACGGGCTACCAAAAAAAGGATTTTTGATACCATTTTGATACACCACTATATATGGTGCTATGGTTAGAGCATTCCCAATATTCCCCGTAAAATGTGCCACTGTTCTCAGTTCTTCACTCATGTTGCCAACGACACAAGTAAAAAAGGAGCAGGATTTCTCCTATCAAATCAGCTGAAAAAATAATGTCCCAGGAAGGGTTACAAGTCCCGGGTGCGACATCAGGCTGCAGGATGACCTGTCCCTTCTGCCCCGTCACCAGTGTCACGGCAAAGGGGTGGCTGAGCTGTCC